AGTAGGGTTGATATTTTCAAATTAAGGTCCCCAAATTTCAGCATCATCCGATTTCAGCATCATCCCCGACATTAATTTTTGCTTTATATTTTTTCAAGTTCAATATAAACTTGCTTGATGGTTGGCCTTTCATCTTGGTTAGATGACCAACATTTTTCATAAATGCTAATATATTTGTTAGGCGTCCCTACTGTTGGCTTCTCTCTCTTATTTTGATGAATTTCATTTACGAGATTGATTAAATTTTTTTCATAGTTCGAGAATGGTTCATCATTACTGAAGACTCTCCACAATATAAATCCTAAACTGTAAATATCGGATTTTTGGTCAGGCAATTCTTCCGTATTTTTCAAAAGTCGTGGGTCTTGATATGGAATTTTATCCTTCATAGTATCCACTGATGAACTTTTTTTTATTACTGAAAATATTATTGGATTTGTTATAAGAGCTCGTTTATTGTTAATTAATATGCTTTTTGAATGCTGTAATGCACATATATATGTTAGTAATAAATAACAGCGCTCATTAAAAATGGTTTAAGATGACTTTACCAAATCTCCGTGAGTTATTTTTTTGTCATGCAAATATTTTAATCCACTAACTATATCTTTTGCAATTTTCAATTTGTCTTCTGATTCGATTTTTTGTGAATCTTGAGTTAAGTACTCTTTTAAGCTTCCATCGGTAGAATGCTCCAATACTAGCATTTTTATATTATTTTCCAGATCTAAAGATACATTAAGAACATAAATATTAAATTATCCGTCAACTATGATGATTTAATTATATAATTTTAACTAATTGAATATAACAAGATCCTGAAATACATATAAGCTTTTCTTAAGTTTGAATAATGTATTTAAACTATAAATGCTTCAGGATAAATATTTCAGGATCCTGATGTTATTTGTTCATAAAGCTACGTTCTACGTGCATTATTTAAAATATTTATTGCCAAACAAGTCGGCTATTAAAAGTGAAAACTTACCATACGTTATTCCATGAAATTTTGTTACATTGTTGTGTTTTATTTCTTTTATTTCTTTTAGCTGTTAAATTAAAAATTTTTAGATTATTAAATTTTTAACAAATGTGCAATACATTTTATCGATTATACCTTTGAAAGTGGGTTGTTATCCTTTAAATTGAGAGAAAACAAGTTGTAAGGTTATATAAAGTTTGATAATAATCTGCGATATATTAAATTAAATTAATTATACCTTCGAAAATTGATCATTTTCCTTTGGAAACAACAGTGCTACCTTTTTTTTATACGCCGTCCAAATTGCATCCTTAAAAATACCAAATTCTGATCTTTTTAACCATCTAGTCTTTGAAAAT